GGCACTTATTTTAAATTTTGGCTGGTAGGAGGGGCACTTATTCGAGGGGGGCGCTAATTCGAGGATTTACAGAAATCACATTGTGTAATTACAAACTTGATGATACCTGCTCCAGCTGCTTCCAGATTCACAAAGGCTCTGATTGTCTCCACCCATCTGTGCTGTGTGATGAACCCATGGCTTGCTTGCAACACGTTCTCCTCAGCTCCGTTAAAATTGAACACAACTCCGTGAATAAAATGGAAGTTTCGAGTCTGTGCAAGACACCTTACCATTTCAAGCATCACCGCACAGCTAACGGCATCATCACTTGCTCCCGGCCCACCGGGAACACTATCAAAGTGCCCATTTACAAGAACCGTGTTCTGAGGGGGATAGCTGTCTTTTGGTGTTACTCTGACCAAGATATTTGTCACGTTGCGATAAACGCTCGTAAACCCATCAAAGAATCCCAAATTAAAGCTGCCAGATGGCCTTTGAATGTCGATTTCAATGATCACATCTTCTCGCGCAGAGTTCCTAATTGTTTGCAAGGTTCCAACGATATAATTCACGGCTTGGATCTCGTTTGCATAGCTTCCAGTGGGTCGTGGGCCAAAGGAGGTAATTGTATCAAGGTGTTTTCGAGCTCTTTCCTCCACAAACTCACTCACGGAACTCCCCAGAGTCGTTTTGGGCGCGGGAACCGTGCGCGAGGCTATGAAGCTCACATACAAGGATAAAAGGTAGAAAAGTAGAATAGAAAAGAACATACAACTTATTGAGCTAGTTTTCTTCGAGTGAGAATTCGCTAAAGATAAATCGGCAGTTAGTTTGCAGTCTTGAACAACGGACGAAGAGCCGGCACCCCGTTTCCTTAGCTCCGCCATCTTGAAATTTCAGACGGTAGAAGCCTCATAACTAGTGTCCAGTCTTTACAGAAGGTGTACCTTGCACATCCGGGATAGCCAAGAAATTCAACATGGCGACAGACTCCATAACCTAAAACATCAACATTTAGAGTTTATTAGCCTTTAGCTGTCGGCATTCTCATCAAAATGGTTGAACCAAACGAAGGTTTCGTTAACACCCTTCTGAATATGGGATTTGTTGACAGCGCTCAGATCCGCAAAGCGCTCATTTTGGCCAAGAACGACTTGAACGTTGCGGTAGCCGTGCTCACTGGTGAAGGAACAAGTTTTGATTTCGAAGATACGGAAGTGAAAGATACTGAGACACAACATGGCTCGGACGATGGAGGAATGGATGTCATAATTCCTCCTTTAGTAGACCCCACAGACGGTGAAGAAGGTGAGGTATTTGAGACTCCAGTAGGCGAACCACCTTCTTACGACGAAGCCATGAACCCTGCAGGTTTGTCCTCAAACGGGGCTAGTCACATTCGAGATGGTCCTGAAAGCATGGAGATTCCTCTGGAATTTCCTACAACGAATCTGTATGAATTGGAAGACAGGGTTTTTGTGGATAACTGGTCAATCCCTTACAAAAGAGAAGAATCATTGGGGAAATGTCTTCAGAGTGCAGCCCGATTTGCCCAAGATGGTGAGTGGGTTGAATTACCAGTGGGTTGGGTCCAGTTTGAATGGTCGCAGACGGAATTATTCACATTCTTTTATATTTTCACTGTTGTTATCCTGTGCTAATTTTCTACTCTGTGTTTGATTTAAGTTAAACATTATAAATCCTCCTTCTGTGCATGCTAGCTACTTGTAAATTTTGTTTGTATCGTTTTAACAAGAATACACGGAGTTGTTAATTCTTGTTTATGTTCATGCAGGATGTTACAGATCAGCTGCTGGGAAATCTCACAACACACATCCTTATTAACCTTGACTGTTTAGCGTCAATGTTAAATGCATGTTATACATATAAAATTGAACCAATTAAACTGCCCTAAGAAATATTCCACTGTTGCATAAAAAATGAAATTAATTTTTACACCTTATTACATTCTCTTATTAATCTTAAATAAGTCTTTCATTATGGAAAGTTCCTGTACAGTTTGTTATGGTGCCACAAATTGTACACTGTACGTTTTTGCAAGAACACTGTTTGTACAGGTATTATTTTGTAATCTCTTTGGCATGTTTGCAGCTCTTTTACTGTTGACAACCGATTTCTATTTTTTAGTGGCTTTGGCTAACAAGATTTCATTCTTGCAACAGACCAGCTCCACTTACAACCTCATTTTCATTTTTAAAATTCCTGAGGTGGTCACTTGCAATTGAAGAGAAATAAATTAAAGCTGTGAAATGTGTTGAAAGAAATTGTGATCTAAAATGTTACTAAGGATAGCCAATTGAATCATATTAAGTAAAAACTGAAATATCTCAAGAAAAGAGCAATATTTACAATGAAATAAAACATTGACCAATGTTAGCAAATAAGTTGACCATGCAATATAATTTAGCTGTTTACAAATTTACATTTCTTGAGATTTTAAACATTTCCAACATATCTATTTTCAATGTCACTGACATTTACAGTTGTGTATATAACAGTTCGTGTAGCTATAAGATTTATGATTTGATTTCTGTATTAAATTATCTGGATTGAACAACTTGCCACTAATTTGAGTGGGACTCTATCCTTACATGTACATACTTATAAAACCAATCAGGAAAAAAACTCACTGCCAACTAGCAATAATTATAATTAAAAATTAATTTTTATTTCCTATTATGTAAGGACTGTTGGTTACATATAAGAATCTTTCTCTTTGCATTAGTTTACTAGTAGAATTGTACTAGTAAAAAATGAAAGTTACACTGACAGCAAACATAATTTATAAAATATAGAAACAAACTTAATTTTCAGGCAAGATGGCTTTGCTAGAGAAGCAACTGTCAAGACATGAATTATTATTTCTTATACAGTATCCACTTACAGAAACAACTGCTCTTTCCTTAAAATAATCCCTTACCCATGGCCAGTAATGAAGAGTTAACCATAATTCGTCAACTATACACTGATAATATGATATTATGATAATAATTATCTTTGTTAAATTGTCAACTGTGAACCTTGTATAATTTAGGTCTTGCTGAGGCAGATGAAAACTGTAAGAGATTTATGGACAGGGCATTGCCTGAATGCTTTAAAAAGGTGTGTGTAACAGCTAATTGCATTTTGTAAAGTCTACTAAGGGTCTATTACAAATGCCATGCTCTTATTGGCTACACTACCCACCATCTATTCTGTTGTAAGTAGTGAGTAGCCTAGTCATTTGCATTTGTCATCAAACTGGATGCCCATTTGTTGTGTTTTTGAAGTGTGTGTGAAGAGGATTTAAATAGTGTTTTTTGATGACTAGCAGATTTATACTTAAACAATTAAATTATTCGCTCTTGATTTC